AGATTTCACACTAAAATTTCTATAACGAATAACAATCGAGGAAAAGCAGTACTGAACAATGTTGTCTCATGCCATTCAGCAAAACACAGCGTCCAATTTTCAGAGAACAATGGAGTAAATATCAAAACAGTGGTTATACATTTTTTTCAACCCTACGGAAAAAATTTATGAAGTCTCAAAGAATACTGGTATCATAAACTCCAGGTTTCAGAATTTTTTTATCAAGAAAACAAAAAGCTTTAGTTTGCATGCATGTAAAGCATGGGCAACGAAATTTCCATGGATGAGACCGTAAAGTTCATTTTTATTTTTAACTTTAGTTCCACTAAATGCCAATAACAAAATATCAAACTGGTTACCTCCTCAGCACGTAATGTCCACTACTGATCATTTATGTTCTCACACTTCTCATGAAGAGGAAATATCTGCAAAAAAGTAGTCGATAAATCCAGAGACATTCAACCACTTTTTTTTTTGTTTTTCAGAATCATTTAAAGATTACGGGATATGAGACTAGTAGACTACTTTCACCTTTGTAGCCCTAGTATCCAAACATACCTTGTAAATCTTGTGATAGAAAATCTCAAGCAATCGAAGCTCAGCATTGGGGTTGGACAGCTCAACCTATTTAAGTATGCAAGGACAACAGTAAACACATAAATATTCGAAATGTAAGCTTTTACAAGTTCATTAAAAGCACTTGGCTAAGGAAAAAAGTATATACCTATAAATAGGTGAGCAAAAGCTGCTTTTATAGCTCAGAAAGAAAGTGTTCCACAACATCATGATTAAATTTTACAATTCACAAAACATAATAAACATCTAGTTCCACCCTGTTTCACATCTATTTTGGGTTTAAAATTGTTTGCCTCTAGCTGGTGAATAAACATAAATCCTCATAAAAATCAACTACAGAATAATGCAGTTCACTGAGGTCACATAACTTCTAATGTCATGTCACATCATATACACTTCTCCCTTCTGGCCTCCCTCCCTCTTAGACATGCTCATGTGAGTATTCAAATAATTTTACTATTGATAATGAGTTTTCACGCCATTTTTCCCCTCTCCCTCTCTCATAAAAGTATAAAAACAATGCTTTTGCAATAGTTACCTTAGTTTTCAAATCATTGATCACATCCCCAACAGTGCTCTGCTTGGGCAGCCGGATACCGTGGATGACAACCTGCAACAAAGCAAATAGAGGATTAAGCAAACCCATGTTCCATCCAGACCACAAGGAAGACAGTCATAATACTCACTTCATCTTTGGTTGAATGATGAAAAGCGACTTTTGGAGTTTTCAAACCCTGCAACTCTGGCAGTGGAATATCCAGAACTTCATAATACAATATATCAGAAGTCTGCATAAAAATAAAAATAAATCATGACTTCATAATACAATATATCAGAAATCTGCATAAAAATAAAAATCAATATAAGATATTTATACTAACAAAGAAATGCTACGAATAGAAAAAATACAGAAACTGTGGACTTTCAATTGGAAGTCGCATGCAGCATATAATAAATAACAAGAAAGAATCCATTTAGTGTGAGCCTTGAGCAAATAATGAATGCGCAACCTTGTTATAGTGAACCAGCATATCCAATAGGCACTCCACTCACCGATACTTGATTGGTTGGGGTTTAGGCTGCCGGGACAAAGAGTTGTGAGATGTGAGCCGTATTTTTGTTGGATCATCCAAACTGAGTTGATGAGCAACTCTTTCCACAACATCATCATAGGTGTACAGCTTCAATCTTCAAACAAATAGTAAACTTTTAGCACTAAGGATTTCAAAAGTCATGTGCCAAAAACTGTCATAATACTCACAGTTCTAGACAGAAGCCATCCTCCTTTGGTCTCTCCAATGAACGAAAATGGACAACCTACACAATTAGATATTATTAAATTATGAAGCCCAATGATGAAGATAGCTGAAACAATTATATTTTCGCAGATATACCCAGAGGAACAAGACACAATAGAGGAAATGATGATACAGGGGACCCTTGAACAGCTAGGTGCACACGTGTATCAGACAAACAAATACTTTTCTCTTGCAAGAAATATCGGGAGAACAATGTAACAGATGTCGTAAGTATCTATAAAAATGTCTACTTTGTACTCCAAAGTTGATGCACCACATCAAATCCAACCTGGAAGATCAATTTCTCTGCTATAAGTAGGGTGTTTTATTTTCTGATCAGTATCAGCTACCATATTACAAAGATAAGTTTGCATCTGCTTACTTGCGGATTATGTACATAATCCAAGAAGGAAGGAACATCTGGATAACAGATACATTTATCATTTTCTGCAGACAAGGTTTTCTGGAAGCATATAATATCCCCATCTTCAAGCTGCACAGGGAACTTATTAGGATGTTATTATTTCTAGTAATAAGACACCATATTGAAATTACAGTGTTAAGGAAATGACACCAAATTATCCGTCCAGAGGTCAATAGAGTGGATACCTGGCTCACTCGAAATGCAAACTCCTTGTCAATATACTCACACATGACGCTAGGTTAAACTTTATTTCCTGACCAAAAAAAAATATCATGTAAGTAACCAACAGATATCAACAAGCCACCACATGGGAACAAATGAGAGATCACAGACTGGAACCCCAACCTCATAAAGTTCAATTTCTTCATTTGGAGGCAAACCAGCCATTACATTGAGTCTTGTCAACGTCTCGATTGGATTTCCTGAGGACTTCACAGAAAGTCTTCCAACATAACTGGATTGCCAAAAATATAATATAAGTCACATACCATGACAACATATAAGCAATACCAGCACTAGTAGTGAATGAAACAGTATATTTACTGTAGCTCTTCTTTCTCTGGATCATAAAATTTGAAGAAGAGTAGAATATCTTCTTTCATCTTCTCAGGGGGAAGGATAGGACATAGAGCCTGCAGGTTCAGATCAAGAGGGTTAATTTTTATACAGATTGTACAAGACTAAGAAGTGCATTACCCTCAAACAACTCATCAAGCAAAAAATCTGTCTCAACAGAAAATGGAACAAAACCATGCTAAAACAACTTGGATTTAAAATAAACTCTCACAGGTCCAAGTTCTACTTCCAGGAATAGCTTCAATTCTGTATTAGGTGTCTTTTTAGATACCTCCCTCAACTGGCCAACCTACAAGAGCAATGGAACAAAAAAATATAAGAACAAGTATGTATGCCCCAGCTGATTACAAAAAGGAAAAAGTATATTGGATTCCAGGTAACTGTGTATGTGTATGTGTGTATAGCTCTAATACAAGCCTAGCATCCCAAACAGGAATTAAATGGAAAGAAACTTCAAACGAATAATGGAAGATAAAACGTACTTTGATATATCATATTAATATTGAAAGCTTCTCCTGGCAAGCAGGCATACTGATGATGCACAAAGTGCATCAAGCGGACAAAGAGACCAGTAACCTCTATGAGACCAACAGATTCCTCCCATTTCTCACACATATTTGGAGGATGTGAACTCTAGAAGGGCTACTAAGATGAATAAGAAGAGCAAGCATTCTTTGAGATGAGTTTCTAGTTATTTTAGGGTTATTTTCAGTCATCTTTAATTGCTGGACCGGTTGGGACTTTTTAGTCTTTAGCTATATTTAGTATCATTTATTTTAAAGTCACTTAAGTTAGGCCATATGGGTCAATTTATTATTTGTATGGACACTTTTTATCCTTGAATCATTAAATAATATTATTAAGAGTGCTTGGGACCTAAGGATGGGTCATCCCACGTGATTTTCAGGGTTGAAAAAGAAAGAATATTTAGGCTTTTGGAACCCTAGCTTCGGGTGACCAAGAAACCTTAAGTTTCTCCAAGTTAGCCTGTTTTTGGCCTAAAATTCTTGCCAATTTATTGTTTTTTCAAATTTCCTACATCACAGAGCGGGAGCAGTTTTCATTCACACACAAGCTGCGCCCTTCAAACATCTCCGGTTCCGCTGGCAGTCACGATTCGAATGAGGTGAACATCTCATAAAGGAGGAATTCCTTGATTGCCAAAAATCTCATGGGCCTAGAGGGAGCCTGCTTGACCTTGGAGATTAGGTATTCTTCTGATAAAAAAAATCCATAGATAATCACATTGGAGGTCCATTTTAGCACATAAGTGATGCACATCTAATGCATTCACCGACTCGATGGCAAGAGAAAGGGTCGAAAGTTCAAGATGCTAGTTATTAGCTCCTGAAACTCTACAACGCTATGTAAAATTACTCATGTGACAATCCCATAACGCAGTTTAACCATGTCAAACCACAAAACACAGCCACATATGCTTCGGAAAAAATAAAGCCCCACAACCAACATGGGAGTTCATCTACCACTGGCTATGGCTTTGAATTTGATTCAGTTCTAAAACCTAGAACTATGTGGAGAGTAAGACCACAAAGGAAAAAAAGAAAAATCAGAACAGCCAAAGCAAGATATTCCATTCATCCCATAAAATCCCAAAAGTCTAAAACTATATGCAATGAATATGATCCATTTAACAAACGATAAAACAACATAAATTTCCAATGCCACTAAACTAAGATCAAATTTATTGATAAAACAATAGAATCTACAATCATATGCAATGAATAAACTCATACCACTTGCAACCTCTGACCATGAATACATCAGAGAAGTGTTTCTTGATGCCTAGGCTTGAGAACTTCTCAATCTTCCAAGTAACTCTATGAATGATATTTTCAGTGCTAATCTCCACTACTGCACCACCCAAATAGGTAACTAAGATTTAAAAAGAGAAACAGAAATTGCAGAGAAATAACATAAAATGAACATAAGGGAACTGCAAATAACAGGGAAATAGTGGAAATGCTACAAAATCCTATAAATCAACATAAAATGGACAGATACAAAAAAAGGGAATCCCGGCAAGTCCACAACAAAATCCCTAAAATAAAAAAAAAGCAAAATTAGCAAAAAAACAAATTTAGAAAGAGAACACTAGCTCTTGGTACCTTTCATACAATGAGTGGTTGAATTTCGGCTCTCTTTCTCCTGCTTATAAAACAAAAACCAAAACATTCGCAGAGCTTATATACATCTTAAAAACACCACAAAAGTGAAAACCAAGAGCCCAAGGATCAGTAACAAGTGAAATGGTAACTAAATTGCCGAGACATGGAATCAAGCCCTAACTGTTAAGTAGTTTCATCACTGTTACCACTTCTTGCTAGCTATTCAGAAAGACAGAAAAATCTTAGGCGAAAAGTTAAAGAGAGAAGACAAGAATAATGGAAAATAATCAGGAATTAGGTTACAAATTGTTTACATTCCAAGGAGGCTACATCATCTGTAATTGTAAACAGGGCCAAGGACTGAAATGGGAAAAATCACAATCTGGAGAAAGAGAGAGAGAGGGCGCGAAGAAATTAAATTTGTCACGAGATTTTGGAGGGAAATTGGGCTCATATCTAACTTTTCTTGTCCCACCTTTGATATTTTAGCCACATTGGGACTTCGTCCCTGCTGGATACAATGAAGTCAAATCTCAAACTAGAATTTCCGCTGGGATGTATGACAATTGAGTCATCAATCTCTTTACTCAGCCGACATAAAAAAAATTAAAAAAATCCAAAAAAACTGTGAAGGATCTCTCTCTCTTTCTGTCACCTTCTCTCCCTCCTTGTGTTTTTCTCCATCCCTCTCTCTAGACTTTGCAACATAAAACCCTACACTTTGCATATGCACTTCTAGCACTGCCATGGGCAGGCTCAGAAACTCAAGGCTTCCTTCACTGAACTCAATCCCAATTCCCCAATCTCCCACTCCTAAACTTCCACCATGATGACTAGCAAGAAGGCCCAAAAACTTCTACCATGGCCCCTCGCATCTATCTCCAACGACTTCACCCTCCATGATGCTCGCCTTTCTTCTAGCAACTCCAAATAAGTTCAACATCTCCTCCATGGCCCCAAATTTCTCGGACATCTTCAATCTCCACAATGCTCTACCTTTGCAGCGAATCCAAATTCCAAGCTTTTCTCTACTTAGTTGGGTTCCTCTGTCTGGTTTATGAGGTAGAAAAGGATGGGCCATGGACGGGTGCAGATGCATACTGAGAATATGCTACAGAGAGCAAGAGAGAAAGGGACTGGTGGGAGAGATAGGAGATACGATACAAGAGAGAGAGAGAGAGAGAGAGAGAGAGAGAGAGAGAGATAGAGAGAGAGTGGTAGGGAGGGGTAGGGGGGGGTAGGGGGGGGACGGACGGAGTACGAACGGAAGGGACGGACTATACGTACGGTACGGAACGTAGACGAACCAAACCTACCGTCCCCGTTCCCCTT